TTACATATGTTCTAAACATGTAATGGATAAAGGAGTATTATCCTGTAAAGGCTTAACCAAACTATCAAGTACTTATAAAGACTGTCTACCAACTCTACATAAACTGGTTAAAGCACCTGCTTAAGAGCAAGTAGTTCAAGTAACAACACTGACTACCCCAACTGGTCGCCTCCTTTCTCAGCTTTCAAGATATCTGGATTTTTCCGAAATATTTCAAACTATGATTCTTCAAACACTCTGGTATTTTCTGAAAGTTGTAGCAGAAGAGCAATCAGTACATAGAAATAGTGATGGATCGCTGACAGTGATTTATCTCGTTAGAGACAATGGAAAATTTTCTTGAGTTTAGTGCCATATGCACTCAGTCTGAAAAGAGTAAGTAATTGGTAACAAAGCACAGGACATTGCCCAAATTTTCTATATGTATTAAAATTGTCTTCACGTTTTCTTTTTTTTGAGCTACAGGAGCTAGTTATGTATCCTGAAGACAACTTTTCTATGGTTATCAAGACATATAGATCTTAAGCCCAAGTGAAGTTCTGCTGATTAAATACTAGTTTGGTATAATTTAATTATTTCCATTGAAATGCAAATCTGAAAAATTGAAAGTAAGAATCAGTTCCCCTTTATTTTTTCCTCATATTTCCAAATTTTCTAAACTTTTTAATACGTTCATTTAAATGCATCTGACACAATGTCTCTCTGTTAGAAAATGCAGAGATAGTTTCCTGATTCACTATACCACAAGCTTTAAATGTTGACTCAATACAAAAAATCACTATTTTCTTTCTTGATCTTTTTTAACTCTCCAGTTCCACAAATAATTAAAATCTAGACCATCAGATCCAACATCTTGCTAGAACAAAGAAGTCAGAATCTGAATTCAGACACAAGGATTATTTACTGAGACTGCCATTGTAGCAGACCTCTCTTATTTACAGTGAGACAACTCTGGTAACCACTAGTGGTACACTGCAAGGTCATAATCCATAACTTCTCTTAGGGTCTCGTAAGCTATCAGCAAAATAAGGATTCCAATTGTACATGGAGCCAAGAAGTCCTGCTAGACACTCTGGTCTCTCTGTGGTCTCAGAAATGGGGTGGGGTGGGTTGGGGCAGGGCGGGGTGGGATAGGATAGGAATATTTTGATCTGTTCTTGTTCTGTCTCAGTTTTACATCTGAACATAAGGATGGATAAGCTTCAGACATTTTAACACTCTACATTAGTTCATGATCTCTTTTTCTGGGATCAGTCTGTGTAATTATGAAGTCATACAAGCTTTCCTTGATGAATTTTGTGCTTTACAAAAGACTAGTTTGGTGTAGCTAAACATACTCACTACATTTAATGAAACTATGGAAATAAATGAGTGGAAAGGCTGTCTTTATCCTCCTTCCATGGCATTGTTGTTTTTTCCAGTGTTATTTGGAGTATATTCTTCAAAGGCTTGTCCAAGCTGGTTATAAGCCTTTTTATTTAAAAAGAATGGACTAAGACATGATTTTGAGCAATGCTGGATAAACAGGAACTGTCCATCAAACCAGAGTTAACAAATGTTTATTTGTTAGAACCACTAGAACTCAGGAATTCTGCTTTCACTTCACTCCTATTTATGATATTTATGAACCTAAAGCAATGGGGGATTCAAGTAGGTTTTCCAAAATCAGGAATTGATTCCCTCTGCATTACTTTTATATAACATAGATTTGACATTTCCACGACCTGTCCCTCCTCAGGATAAAATATATCACTGTTACAACAATTTGCCAGTGAAATCCTTCCTCTCTCACAGTTTCCAAGTCAGCATCTTTACCCAGACAAGCCTTTGCTAGTCTTACATAGGTTTGTCTCGTATGAACACAATGTGATTCACGATGGTGATTGCTTCAGTGTTTGTAAGATTATTTTTATAACACTCTATGAGGATGAGGTAAACCTTCACCAGACGGTTATAACATACCTCCTGATGTTTTATTTGACTCCTGTTCTGCTCACAGCTCCCACTGAACTATGTATAATGTTTTAGGTTTGGACTTGCCAAGTCCTCATAGGGAAGAACTAAAACCTCTCACTACTCTGGTTTGTTGTATTAAAGCTGTAATAAGGCCTTCTAAGAAAGGCTCTGAAAGCCCCCAGAAAGGCTCCTGACAGTGACTCTGATATCTCTCAGGACACAGAAGCAGCTTTCAAAGCCAGTACAATCTTTGCCACACACAGATGTGGAGAACAGGAGCTCCACCTGCCCTAACACCAATGACAGGGAATAGGAATGGAAGCCAGAGCTGGCCACAGCCTGCTGGAGACTGTGGGCAGAGCTGGAGAATACTCAGCAAGAAAATGCCATTGTCTGAAGCCTGTTCCAGGCCAATATGGCAGTAAAGGGCTACAATAACCACAGTCACAACCCTAAGACAATATATAATTAATTAAAATTAAATATAAAATAAATAATTAAAAACATCTCAATAAATTGTAGCATAACGAACCATTGGCTTCCAAGCCTGGGACTTGCTCATCACCATGTCCCATATGACCTCCTGTGTCACCACAGCTCACTTGGCAAAACTGAGCACACAAACACTCCCTGCTCCACCACAGCACAAAGGTCTATGCTTGATTCACTGTCAGTGACTCCCATTGCTTCAAGGCACAGGTTGAAAACAGCTGAGAGGACTTTCAGAAAGCTCAAAATCTACCTCCATCCTATAACATCTAGTGAGCACTGAAGAGTACAAATGCACTTACTATCACAAAACAGATTTTGTTTCATTTTTCTGCAGAAAAAATTTACCTCTCTCAAATCTTTTTACTTTAAGAACTCAGATATATAATGAAAGCCATGAGTCACTTGGAGCTACTATAGTCAGACTAATGTAACTGCAGTTTGATAACGGTGTAACAATGAAAAGACTCACAAGCATAAACATTTCTGTGACCTCAGTATCTTCTGTGAATGAGGAAAAATCACAGTCTTGACATCATGACTGGTATCAGTCTGTCTTATGTCTGGGTTCAAGAGATAGTGTCATAAAAGTTACACAGCAGCCAACAGTTCTTAACAGCAAATTTAAAAAATATTTTTTTGTCATCCATTCCTGGAAGCCTTGAGTTTACATAGCTTCTCCTCATCTATTCCATGTGCACTTTGAAGGATAATGGCATTCCATATCTGCTTATAGATTCAACACCTGTAGTTTTGCACAAAAATGAGCACAATATTAAAAGTATAAATTAATTTTTCAAAAATCAGTAAGGACCTTAAATGAAAGTTATTTGAAAGAGAGAAAGTGTTCTGTGAAGATCATTACCTTTCCATACTACTGCATAATTAAGGTTAAAATGGAATTATCATACTTTAAAGGGCAGATGATTTACTAAATACTTGTGCTTTTTTTCCTGAATTAAACATAGTCTTAGTATCTAAGATATAATTTTAATGTAATGAAAATATCCTATACCCACTAACTATAGATCAGTGAGAAAACAGGAAATCCTACCTTTACTGGCATGAAAAAGTAAGTAAATAAGACTGTCCTCAGACTAGCAAAGTTTCCTTTCTGATACAGCTGAGAAGCTTCCTTATGTTGGACTCAGTCTGGGATTAAACACGGGAGTTCCATTTTTAGAATTGTCAGTCAGGAACCTTTCAAACAACCTAAATTCATTTTGAAGTGTGAAGGTAATACATGAAATAGAATCAAGCCATTCAGTGTTCACAAAACACAGCTGATTTAAAGCAAACTATATAACCTGTTGCGTGGGTGGACTTTTATCTCATGTAGGTTTAGTTAGCAGAGCTAAAAATATTAGCCAATACAAGGTCAGAGGGTGTCCTCTGGAATAGATGCAGATGATAACCCTTGTGAGCTCAGCTGTCTGCTCCAATTGCCTTGCAAATGATAGTGTGTTTCCAGCACAAATTACAGGAATTTAGACAGTTAGTTTGTACAGAGTGAAATTGCACAGCTATACAATTCTGCACGCAAATACTGTGGAAGCACAGTGGAGGCTTCCTCATTGGGGCTCTAAATATGAGTTGCCAGGACTCTGTATAAATTCTTCACAAATAAAATAATCCTTCCAATTCTGGAAGTAACTATGGCCTAGCAATCTTTCTTTGTCCTTGGTACCACATGTGCAACAAAGGTCATTATTTTTCAGTCATTTACTCTAAACCTTACATTTAGCCAAGCTGCTAACAGTTTTTCTTCACTTAATGAGGGAATCACAATACCAGAGTCATTTTTTTTAAAGGCTCAGCTCCTGAAATCCTGTGATCATTCTCCCACATTTCTTTTCCAAATGTAAGGCATAGGTCATGCTAGTGTTTGACAGTAGTCTAAAGCTTATTTATGGCAGTCTGTCCATGGCATCACAGAGCTCCACACAGGCTAATTCCCCCTGCTGCACACTTCAGCATCCTGATACAGCATGCACGTATATTGCACTATTGATACAGTGTACAGCAGGTACATTTCAAGCCTTCATGACTCCACAGGGAAGCACATGACATAAAAATCATCAAAAGAAGAAAGAAGATTCAATGAACCCTCCTCCTTTTTATGGTTTTCGTGATATGGGGGCTAGGTTCATTAGTTCTGCACAGAATGCCTGATCTCTGCCATTCAGATAGGAGAGCTGTTTGGCTGCAAGCCCAGCCTGCCTCTCTACCTGCAATACTGCCAGGTCCTGCTGTCCTTAGGCCCTGTATCTTAGCCCTTCGCCTTCCAGAAGGACTGTGCTGTCAGAAACTCCCCATGACCAACATTAAACATCACCACGGTGAAGCACTGGCACAAGGCTTAGTCTCTGCCCCTACAGTCCTCCCAAATCCTCCTCAACAGCACAGAATGGCCCAGGGAAAATTGAGTCAAGACCCTGAGTAAGCAGAAATTTTTTTTACCACTAGGCTCCTGGGCCGTTCCTCAAATTTACCTAAGCATTTCAGCAATACATTCTACAACCTTTTAAAATGCTTTACGGAGTTGGATTACTTACGGCATCCCGCTATTGTTCTCTCTAAAGACTTCTGTTAGTGTATCGTTGATAGAGAGGTCAGACACCCGGAGGACAGCGTAAATGGGAAGCACCCGGGGCAGAAAACGGGTTTAACGTTGTTTTTTAGCTACGATTCAGGATCAAAGTTCTGTTTGGGGAAACTGAAGCGAGCAGTGAGGTGGGATTTACTCGTCAGATTCGTCAGCAATGTTAAACAGGAGTATTCACAGTTCAGGGAGGCACACACACACCCCTTCATCTCACAGTCAAGTTCCACATTTCATCGTGCGGATGCTCACACGGAGCGGGAAGGAGGCGGCTGGGACCCCACCCTCCCGCGCGCGGAGGTGATGCCGTTGCGGCCGCTCCCTGCACGGGGCCCCGCAGGATTTCCTGCCTCCGCAGCCCCTCAATTCCTGGAAGCGATCTCTCCCGAGGCCAGGAAGGACGAGCGCGCCGCCACCGGCAGCCCCAGAGCCCCGTGAGGAGCGCTGCGGTCCCCGGCCCCTCAGAGCACAGCAGCGCGTGCACCTCCCCGCGCCCTTTTCCGCG